TTAAGTATCCTCTATTTAAAAATTAAAGAAACTAGTGCACTGAGAAGTAAGGGACTTGCCTGAGATTGTATTAGGAGTGTATTTGTACTCCTTAGAATGCACTTCCTGGTCTCTTACATGATTGTGGATTCTTGTTCATAATTATGGATATGGTTGGTGAATCATTCCCTATTAGATAGAACAGGATGCAAATCTGAAGGCTGAACTCAAGTGAAAAAGAAATTTTAATGAAGGCTCCCTAGCCACACAGCCTCACTTCCCTTCCTTTGTTTGGAAATGTATGATCCGATTATCACAAATATTTGGGTTCTACTTGAATATAATGATCAAGGCAAGGATTGCTGACTGTCTTAATACCTAAGACAATGTGGTGCTGAAGAACTGTTGCATCCTAAAGGCAGTGGTGTGTGACAGTAGGCTAAGACTGTATTTTCCAAGTGCTTCCATGTCAGTGTAGGGAGATGTGTGTTGAGAACAAGCTTGTGGAGAGCTTTAGATGGAGCGTAAGTTCTGGGGTGCAAAGTTTTTATTTTGTTTTTTCCTGAGTCAGTACTCCCATTGCAGACTAGGTTAGGGGAATTTAAGTTATGAAAATTACTTTAGTAAGACATGAAGTAATGGGAATTAAATAGGGAGCAGAGAAAAGAGGGTCTGCTCGGGGACATTCAGCTATGTGGATTCAGGCTGGGCTTTTGTTAAGGAATAAGAGTTAGCTTCAGTAAGCAGAGAGAGACACTAGAAGTCAAATGCAGACTGTCCTTTCAATGTTCCAGTCTTGAATGGAAGCATTTGTAGCATAGCTGCAGGGAAAGGACCAACATGGGGCTTAGTGAGTGTGGGAAGAACAAGCTATGGTGTTCTGAGGGTAAGAACTTCCTCCAGCTCTTTTGTTACTGTTTCTTTAGAGTTCTTTTTCATAAAATACTTACATAACCTCCCCTTAAGGTGAAGCTTGGTGTCCAGACTCTGATACATTCAATGCAACATCTGCAGAGCATGTACCACTTGGTGTGTGTCACTAAGTGTCTCCTATAACCTGACTTCTGAGCAGTGTCTGGTACAAGATAGAGGGTGTCTTGGTACTTGGGAATGACAGCATGAAGGCACAATGACTGAGTCCTCCTAATACTCTGCTCATTCAGCTGGCATCACCACCTAGGTTTAAAGCTGAGAAATACTGCAGTAGCTTCAGGAACTTGCTCAAGATAAATGGCATGCTCATGATTTTGATTCTAACGGCTTTTAAATGCTAAAGGATCATGAAAAGTGTAAATAGGAAAGTCAGAGTTTTCTATGGTTGCTACAAAAAAATTGCAAGCTAAAGCAATAGATTTCTTCTCATACAGTTCCTTAGGCCACAAAAGTGAAGTCAGGTTCACTGAGCTAATCAAGGGACTGGAAGTGCTCACTCCTGTGGTGAGTCTCTGCTTCCTGTCTGCCTCTTCCAGCTTTGGGTCCTGCTGGCATTCTTTGGCTGCCTCATTCCAGTCTCCATTGCTCGTGCTGCCCTTTCCTATGTCAATGTCCCTGCCTTGCTTTTATATACTCATGGGTATGGGATAGAATTTAGGACCCAGAGCATAATAATGAGTAATCTGTGGTCTCAAAGTCTTTAATTGAAGAATGCTATCTGCAACCCCTGCAAACCCTCAATTCTTTCAATAAGGTAACATTCATAGGTTGCAAGCCTTAGTACCTGGAGGTGGGGAAGAGTGTTATCTAGGCAAAATATATGCATTAATAAATTTTCAGGCATGCAAATGTGTGTCTGTACATGTGCATGGGTTCAGCATATATAGCTGTGCATATGCATGCCTGTGTGTGTGCAGAAGTGCACATGGCGGTTCAAAGTGTCTAGCTCAGAGTGTGCCCAGACTTGTAGTGGTTTCCACGGGCAGGGAGCAGTTCCCCAACCTGGACTGTTGTCCAGCCCCCTGCAGGAGTCACTGTTTGTCTGCATGCCTTGCCATCCTGGTCCCTGGCTTCCTTGCCCACTCTAGGATGTGTGTTGGATGGCTGAGGCCTGGTGAGGATTGTAAAGCTTGAGGTCCAGAGCCAGAGGCCTCAGAGATACAGATGATGTGGGCATGGTTGTGGAGCGCCTGGGTTTTCTAGGTGGTTGTGGGTGGAACTGTGAGTTTGCAGAGAATGGGGATGACTGAAGAGACCCTTATTCAGCAAATCCTGCTAGGGTGGAGACAGCCAGTGGCCAAATGAACCCCATGGGCCCTCTTCCTCAGCCAGCTTGGAAAAAAATGCAACTAATCCAAACAGCTTAGAAAATCCTGGATGAAGAATCTAAACTCCGTTTAGGAAGAAGGTGGCTCCCAGAATGGCAGGACCCTGTATGGGTGGTGCCATCAAATCTGGTAACTAACTGAGCCTTCTCCAGGCAGCCCCCAGGGTGCCCCACCCCCACCCCCACCCTGCATACTCAAGGTGGCCTTTCTAGCACTGCTGCGGGCTCCTGCTGTGCGGTGTGCTTTCTGCTGTGTCGCAGCAGGACCCTGTCTCAGCTGTACTTTCCATTGAGACTGGTAACTGGCTCTGGGCCACCCTGAAACTCACGCAGGAAATCCTTGCTCTAATGAGAAACCTACAACTCTTCCACTCAAAGTCTTGCTCAGGATTGAGCTTCCTAGAATACCAGGGCGGGAGTGAGCAGAGAGCCCACATTCCTGCACCCTAGTGCACATCCAGGATCAAACTTGGAGAACACTGTTGGAGGAATAGGAAGGTGTAGCCCAGTAAGATTCCTGGGGTCCTGTCACTGAAGAGCGCTTGGTGAGGAAGAGGAAAGGCTCTGGCGACCAAAGAGACAGTGTGTTCTAGCAGAGCTCGCACGAGTTCCAATGTGAGCACACATCCCACGCACACACCCACCACCGCCACCACCACAGTCTTATGACCTTGGCCAAGTCTCTTAATCCTGCAAAGACTGAGTTTTTCCTATCCCTGTGAAAATTGAAAAGGGTTGCTTCAGAAAATACCTCCTACGGTGCCTGGAACTTAGGGGTCCTGGAGCAAAGGTAATAATATTATCTAGTTACGCGGTTATTGAAGAAGCAAGCCCCCATTGAACAGGAGTTTAGTCAATGAAAGAGAATGACGTAGTGGAAGAAAGAAAAGAGGAGCAGGGTCCTGGTCTAGATTGGCTTCTGGCCTGTATGTGATAGACATCCTTAGGTGTTGGGAGGGTAATGTCTCACCTGGTTGCCCTTAACTAACTGAGATGTACAGGATGTGGATATGTGTTGGTCTATTTAGGTGAGAAGATTACTTCCATCAAAGGGGCTGCACCATAGCATACAAGTAGGTCAGTAGCTCTCAGATTCCCCTCCTTTAAAATAAGAGTGACAAGCTACACCTAGTGATGTCCCAAAATGGGACAGCCCAGTCTTCTTCCAAATCATGGGAAGTAAATTAAGTCAGCCAAACTGTCTTATTTTAAAGTCTTTGTACACAAGTTCATTTCTTAAAACTCTGGTGCCTATTCCAAACTTTTAGCTTATGAGTGTGAGCAGAAGGCAAAATGTGTGACCAAGGAGCAGATGATCATCCACAGCGAGACCAGAAGCAGCCAACTTCAAGGGACGACAGCTCACAGTGTTTTCGATGACACATAATTTAGTCTCACATCCTACCAGCAAATGTGTCCCTCATTCACATAACAACATTGCTTGCACTTCACAGTGTTCATTGAAAAAATTACTATAAAAGGTAAGGTTCCATTTCCTGACCCCACTTTTGAGCCCTAACTCTAGAGATGATGGGAAAAGACCTGCTTGAGAGATCATGATCCTTCTTTGACTTTGTAGGAAACTTTTAGACCTCCTGAGCCTGTTTAAATATATATAAATTAATATATATAAATTATATATAAATATAATATATATAAATATATATAAATTAATATAATAATTACACTTAAGAAGATTATATAGAAATAAAGAATCTAGCACATAACAAGTCCTCAACAAATAGCCTAACTGACGTGAGAAAACACTCAACTGACAGAATACATGAACTACAGCAGAACTTCTCCCCTTTAATGTATATAGGAATTGTCTTGGGCAGAATCACTCAAGGCCCTCTCTACCCCTGTCCTTGTAATCCTGCGTGCCCTCAAGGTGGCCCTCTGGCTTCCAGTGTATATACTGGGCAAGAAAATGATCAGGAGGAAGTCAGAGATTCTCATATTTTATGAGACTCACAGTGAGCAGAAAGAGTGTTTAAAAAGCATTAGGGTTTGAATCTTAAATATAGAACTTGGTTGTGGCGGTGGTAGAACTCTAAGGAGACGGGACCTGAGGGAAGGAGATCAGGTCATGGGGGCAGGCCTTGGAAAGGGATGTAGAGACTCCAGCCCCTTCCTCCTACTTTCTCCGCTTCCCGGCCACCATGAGGTGAGCAGCTTTTCTCTACCACCAGCTCCCCACCATGATGTTCTGCCTCATAGCAGGTGCCAAATAACAGACTGAAGCCTTTGAATTTGTGAGCTAAAATAAACTTTTATTCCTCTTAAACTGATTATCTCAGAAATTTTGTCGCAGTGACAGAAAGCTGACTAACATAAGGGTTAAGTGCATTTTGGTTCCATTGCTGAGTTCAGTTTCTGTACAAATTGCTAAGTGAATGCAGACAAGTCACTCCCTTCTGATTCTTTGTGGGTCTTGACTCCAGTTTGAAATTCTGTATTTTGAACAAGCTGTCATGCGGTGCTGCTGGTCTGCAGACCACAGTTCAGAGGCAAAGAACTAGAGTATTAGCTATAACAACACACAGGTGGCAGGTGCTGAGAGACAGGCTTGGCCAAGCAGTCCCTTGGTAGGAGGTCTAGGCAGGGGCAGTCAAGGAGTAGCACAAATTTGTTTTATCTGAGAACATTTCTGTCTTTGAAATTGAATTGCACTCTTGAGTCCCAAGGCTGCTGTTCTCTTGTGCTTCTGCTGACTTGGTTCATATTGAAGTTAATGTCTTACACAGTATTTCCTTTGCAGACTACACAGACATTCACTCCCTATTGCTGAGAATTGTGGGACTTCTGAAACTTGCCTCTTCTTGTCTGTGGGATACAGAGTCAGAGAAGGAGCCAATCATATTAAGTCCCTGCTTGGTAGCAGACAAGGTATTCACTTATTTACATATATTTCTATACTTATTCTTTATAAATATAAAAATTGATACTCATGAGTTAATAATAAATGCCTTTAGCTCTGAGTACAGGGGTGCACATCTGTAATCCTAGCTACTCAAGGGGCTGAGGCAGGGGAATTGTGAGTTCAAGGTCAGCTTGGAAAACTTTGCAAGACCCTGTTGTAAAATAAAAATAAAAAGAACTGGGGATACAACTCAGTGTATCCCCCCTACAATGTTCTTTTAAAAAAGTATAAAGATATAAAATGACAGAGGCAGGATAGAAACCAGATTTATTTCCTATCCCTAAATTTACTTTCCACTGTCTAAAATTTGTTGCTTTGTCATTGACTTCCTTGTAGAAATGATGTTCTTATGGCACTTAGGTATTGTTGGTAACAAGCATATTGTGCCATATTGTGCGGTGTTGATTAGCTGAGCTTTATCATGGGTGACCATAAAGGGGAGGCACACAGTGCAGTAAAGGAGTATTGTCTGACTGTGTAACTGGCAGTTTGTAAGTGATGATCATCCTGATCCTTATGAATTTTAGGCTCCCATGAAGACTGTTTTAAAAAATCCGGGAGGGATAAAGAGTGCTATCGAGTATTTAGAACATACATGGGATATGAAATATATTTTTGCTATGGCAATTCTTCTGATCAGTATAACTTTGTATTAATTGATATCTTTGTTTTCAATATATTCTGTTTGGTGGGCTGAAGAAATTGTAAAAAGATGTTCTTCAAGCATGGTGGGGTGATCAGTACAGAATTTCTAGTGAGTAATAAATAACTTTTTTCTATTTAACTTGCTTTGTTCATTGGTGTAATGACTATGATCTGCTGAAACGGGGTTTTATTTAGACTCTGAGAAAGTACTGATGTCATAGTTCCACATCGTTGTGAAGTAAGGACTGGGGCATATGTAAGAAAGTCATTTAACACTTCAACTGCTAGCAGTTTACTTTTAAAAGTGACGTAAACTATCAACAATAACAAAATTGATAGAGCCCCCCCCCCACCTGCCAGTTGCATCATGTGTAGGTGAGTGCTGCTCAGTCAGAAAGCTGGAGCAGTCTAAAGGCAAGTATGTTCTTTGATACCCAATTTACATCTTGAATTTCTAACAACAGAATGACATCAGAACCACACACACGAAATGTTAGCAAGAAACAGCAGTTGGTAGTGTTTACTTCATTGACTAACGTTTACTGGTAGTTTTGGACTCACACTGATGTGAGATGTGTGAGCTTTGTACTATTAAAATTGTCTGAATATTTGTGTTTGTCTTTTCTTTAGGAAGTTAATGATCAAATTCTATCTCATTCCTTTTAAGAAACTGCTCAAATTTCTCTTAGAATTAATTTACCTGTCCTCTATGCATTTTGTGCCTTTTAAAAAGCTACTTTATTACAAAATAAAAAAATAGAATCAATAAAAGTTGATTCTTCAAAAACTCAACAGATTGACATACCTCTAGCTAGACTGAAAAAGACAAAAAGGCACAAAAATCAGAAATGTAAGTGAATATGTTACTACCTACTTTACAGAAATAAAATGTATTATGAGAATTCTAAGAACAATTATAGGCCGTCATATTAGATGAACTAGAGGAAATGCACAAATTTATCAAAATGATTCATAGAAAGTTTAAAATTTGAACAGATGAGATCTATAAAAGTAAAAGGATTGCATTAGTAATCAAAAATGTCCCAGCAAAGAAAATTAAAGGTCCAGGATTAGTTGGCTTCATCGGTGAATTCTACCAAACATTTAAAGAAAATTGACTGCAATCTTTTTCAGACTTTTCGAAAAGAAGAGGAAGAAGAAGAGGGGGGTGAGGAGGAAGGAGAAGAAGAAGAAGAGGAAGAAGAGGAAAAAGAGAGGAAGAGGAGGAGGGGGAGGAAGAGGAGGAAGTTATGGCTTGTATTTAGATGTCATCCCTAAACCCCATGCACTCAGAGGTGGGGATTTTGGAAATGACTGGATTATGAGTGTATGACCCTGGATCACGAGTGTATGATACTGGATTAATCCATTGATTTGTCTAGGATGGTTCTGGATGTGGGGGTTGGATTTATGGAAGAGGGAAGACCCATCCTGGGTTTCTATGGCAACATCCAATAGGCCTGCAGCCTCAATGGAATAAAAAGAGGGAAATAACAAAAGCTTGCTGCTACTTTCTACCTGCCTTCTCATGAATTGTTTCTCCTTTGCCAACCCCTCTGCCATGTTGCCCTATCTTGGAGCTACCCAACTATGGACCAAAACCTCTACAAACTGTGAACTAAACTAAAACCTTTTTCCTTTTAACTTGTCAGTGTTGAACATTTTGTTGCAGTAACAAGAAAGTAGCTAAGACAGAAAGTGAGAACTAAGTCACCCTATTGTTACAAGATACTGAGTTACATAGAAATGTCACATGCAGGGATAGATTCCTGAAGGAGCCAATGTAAAAGGCCTTGCAACTGTGGGGGAGACAGATACCTTCCACTATGGGCAGGCCTCAAGACAAAAGATCAAACAAATGTACCCACGTCCTAAGGAATGATATTGTAAATAGGTCTGTATCACCCTGAGGAAGCCAGGAGTCACTATACCAACCCCCTACAGGAAGAATCACTGTTCTTCACACAGGCATGCTTGTTATGTGACTTGTTTCTCCATTTGTCCCCAATTTAATTAACTTTACCTGAACAATAAATCTTATTGGTTCTGTCTCACTTTATGCCCACCTTGGGAGTTCCCATGTTTTCCCCCACTTTAGACCTGCCTCACTTTGTGGTTTTGCTCTATAAAAATCCCTGGAAAAGACAGAGTCCTTGGCAACCCACTCAGGAGTCCTTCTCTCTCAAACAGAAGGCTTTTTTCTCTCAATAAATATATTCTGCTCTTACCCATCATTGTTCCTAAAGTTGATTATTCAATTTTAGAGAACACGAACTTGTAGCAGACATATAGTTGGGAGTTTTGTTCCTCTGTATCACTGAGAATTATATTAGTCTGTTACCAAAGCCAGCCAAAGACTCCATAAGGACAGAAAACTAGAGAACTATATCCTGGTAAATCTAAATGCAAAAGTTATTAACAAAATATTGGTAAACTGAAATCAAGAAAAAATTAAAAGAATTACATATTATAGCCAAGAGGGATTTATCCCAGGCATATAAGAGCGAGTCAACAAAAGAAAATCAATGTATTAACTATGTTAGTAGAACAAAGGACAAAAGCCACATAATCATGCCAATTTCTGTAAAAAAGAAAAAAAGCATTTGATATAATACAATGCACATTTGAAAATGCTTGGGCAATAGAAACAGGAGAGAACTCCTTCAGTGAGGTTTGATGAAAGATACGTAGGAAAAACTCACAGCTAATGTCAATCATGAGAGACCGAAAATTATTCTGCCATGATCAGAAATAAGGAAAGATGCCCAGTTTCCTATCGGTATTAAAAATTTTACTGGGAATTCTAATTAGGGCAACTAAACAAGGAAAAGAAATAAAGGCACCAAGTTGGAAGGAAAGAAGTATATATGCAAATGACATGACCCTATGCATAGAAAGTTCTGCAGAATCTACAAATAACTGTGACTAATAAATGAGTACTAAAGTTTTAGTCTACAATTCAAAACCAAAATCAATATGTTTCTATATATCAGCATATATATAAAACCTGAAAAGAAAGTTAAGAAAACACATTTATTTACAATACCATTCAAAAGAAAAAATTCTTAGGAATAAATTTAGCCATGAAAATGAGAGATTTATATACTAAAAACTGCAAAGCATTTCTGAAACAAATTAAAGACCTAAATAAGTGGAGAGACATTTTACACACCTGAATCAGAAGATGTAATGTTATTAAGACGCAGTACTACCTCAAATGATGTACAGATTCAACTCAGGCTCTATGGAAATTCCAAAAGATTTTTATTCAGAAAGGGAAAAAATAATACTTGAAGTCAAATGAAATTACAAGGAACTTCACATAGCCAAAACAGTACCAGGAAAGAGGAACAATTTGGAGGACTCATATGTCCAGAAAACTTATTGTAAGGCTGCAATAATTAAAATAGTGTGGTATTGAATAGACATATGGACAAAAGAAATTAAACCAATATATCTATGGCTAACTGGTTTTTGACAAAGGTGTGAGACCACTCAATGGGGAAGGAATAATTCAATCACAGTGCCAGGACAATTGGATATCCACATGCAGAAATGAAGGTGGATCTCTACCTCACACCATATACACAAATTAACTCAAAATGGAACAGTGATCTTCATGTACATATTAAAATCATAACACTTTTAGAAGAAAACATTAGGGTAAATCTTCATGACCTTGGGTTTGACAATAAATTCTTAGACTTTTTACACCAAAAATTTTGGTTAAAGGAAGAAACAAATAAATTGGACACCACCAAACTGAAAACATTTGTGCATCGAAGGACATTATCAAGAAAGTGAAAAGACAGCCCACAGACTGAGAGAAGATAGTTGTCATCTGTAGATATTTCTTCAAAGGAAACATATACATGTTTAATAAGTACATGAAAGGCTATTCAACATCACTAGTCTTTAGAGAAATATAAATCAAAACCACAATGAGTTAGCGTGTTACACCAACGAGGATAACTATAATAAAAAAGTAGAAAAGTGTTGACAAGGATATGAAGAAAATTGAAACTCACATATTTCTGATGGAAATGAAAATGGTTTAGCCACTGGAAAATGTTTTGGTGGTTCTTCAAATAGATAAATTGATTTACCATTATAACTGGATTTACCATTATGACTACAGGATTCTCCTCTGGGATATAGATGCTAAATGATTGAAAACAGGTGTTTTACAAAAATCCCTGTGCACACATGTTCATAGTACCACTATTCCCAATAGCCAAAATGTGGAAACAATCCAAGTGTCCATCAACAGATGAATGGATAAATAAATTGTGGTATACGGAGAGTGTAGGATATTATTTTGCCATTAAAAGGAATGAAGTATCAATATGTGCTACAATGTGAATGAACCTTGAAAATATGCTAAATAAAAAAAGCCAAACACAAAAGGTCACATAGAATATGGTTTCATTTATATAAAATATCCAGAACAAGCTAAGTTCATAGAGAAAGAAAACAGATTATTAGTTTCCAGGACCTGGGCGAGAATGGAGAGTAAGAAATAACTGCTTAACGTACATGAGGTTGCTTTTAGGGAAATGAAAATATTGTGGAACTAGATAAAGGATGTGGTTACCAATCATCATGACTGCACTGCAATCCAGTGAGTTATACACTTAAAATGATTAATTTTACATTATGCAAGCTTTACTTCAATTTATAAAATATATACCGTACTTTTTTGAGGCATAATTTTCATGGACTAAAACTAACCCAAGTTAAGTGTATATCAATGAATTTTGATGTTTATATGCAGTCATGTAGCTGCCACCCCAACCAAGATTTAAAACATTTCCATCACCTAATCATTTTCATTGTGTTCCTCCCAGCCAAGCCACCTCCTTGAACATGTACCCTCTCAACCACTGACCTGTTTTCTCACACTATAAATTAGTCTTCTCTATTTCAGACCTTTTTTATAAACCAAATGAACCCTTTTCAAGCTAACTCCTTTGCTCAACATGTGTTTGAGGTTTTCCCATTTGTTTATAGATCAGCGATTTATTCCTTGTTAAATCCTGAATAAGTTCCATTGTTTGACTAGCCAGTATTTAATTCAGTGTTTGTTGAGCTATTTCCAGTTTTGTAGTTACGAATAAAGCTGCTATGAACATCTGTGTAAAATCTTTTGTGTATTATATTTTCATTATTTTGGAGAGATGAATATCTACAAGTGAAATTGCCAGATCATAAAGGTAACATATACTATTTTTTAAAAACACACACAATTTTTTCCCCAGTGGTTCTAACAGTTTACACTCCCATCAGCAGTGCAATCCTCTCGGTCTCTAGCCCACATCCTCACCAAAAGTTGATAAGATCAATATTTTCCATTTTAGGCAACATAATACATGCTTAGCTGTATTTCATAGTGGTTTTAATTTGGATTTCCACAATGTCATTTGATGTTGTACCATATTTTATATTCATTTGCCACCCACATATCTTCTTTTATGAATCTTGCTCTTTTTTCAACTAGGTTTTAAAATTATTATTGACTTGAGCATTATGGTTGATTAATTAATGGCTGATTTGAGTAAAAACAGCCTGCCAAACAGAGTCAGCATGGTTCTGTGGAAGACCTACTGGAGGACTGTTGTCAGAATGGCATCAAAGGAGAATGAAGGATGAGGTTGTATGATGCTGATTTCTAAGAGAAGCTTCATGTGGAGGTTGGTTCTCCAGATACAGACTCAACTGTTGACCATCTTTAGCAGAGCTCTTAGGTTCTCACTGTGACTGGCAAAGGCTACTTGTGGAGGACCACCTGGATGACTCTTCATGAATAAAGTACAGTTATCTCCATTTTGGCTAAAGCTGACTCTAACTCCATGTATTGATATGTAAAGAGCTGACTAGGTCACTTTTTTCCCTCAATTGGCTTTAAGCAATGTAAATAGGGCTGGTTGAGGTGCTGATGTGCAATCTCTGAAGCCAGATGACAGTCACTGTTTCCCAAACCCATTACTCCCAAAACACATGGCTGAGTTGGGTGGGAGGAAGAGCCACAGCTCAATGCTGTAAACTGGGATCAACTTGAGATGAGAAGCTGTGACTTCCCAGGGTAGGAAATTTTACACATCAGAATTGAAGCCCTGACCCCAAAACATTACATGCTACCTTTTTTGTGTTATGCAGATTACTCTTTTCGCATATCCTTCTCTCTGCATATTGCCGAGATGATCTCAGGCCACCTGTCTAGCCCAGCTTATAGTACTCATGTACTCTCTACCTTTCTCAACAATCACTCATCTTCAAGCCATGCCTTTCCTCATGAACTAATAAAATCCAGGTTGGATCCTCGGTCTACACCTTTGTTTCAGTGAACCATCATCTTGGCTGGACTTAGGACCTCCTTGGTCACTCTTAGCTATAAGTATGTCTTAGTGTCTTTATTCTTATCATGAGTTGCCCTGGAAGTGGTATATTGGAATTAACTTTTTGGAATTCCAGTAATGCTTCCATGGGATTACAAATATAAACTTCCTGGACCAAGAAGAGGACCAGGAAGAGCTCTCTATAGCTACTGTTCACATGGGGAGTCTCTAGTCTTTGCATTTGTCTTGAGCATCTCTTCCTTGCTCCAGTGCAGTTCCCTCAGCCTTCTGGAACAGACTTTCTAGCTTTCACCACCACCACTGGTCCTTGTGTTGCCCTGGTGCAGATCCTTGATGTGGACTTGCATGAGACATTGCTATGGGACCCAGGCCTTGGGCTGGATTCTTTGGGTCTCTAGCCTGTGGACAGATCTCTTGCCCTCTTCTGCATTTGGCTTTTGGGTGAATATAGTAAGATACCCCTATAAATTTATGTGTCCAGTAATGAATCTATTCCCTTGCAAATCCTGAGTACAGTAAGAGTTCTTTATATATTCTGACTACAAGCCTTTTGTTAAATATAGTGTTTTAAAATATTTTCAGCCTGTTCATACTTGTTTTTTTATTATTTTGAAAGTCTTAAAAAATCTGATGTTCTTGGTTTTGATGGAATTCATCTTTTATCCTTTTATGAATTATGTTTTTGATATCTAAGAAATCTCTGCCTAATCCAATGATGCAATGAATTTCTCTTGTGGCTTTCTAGGCATTTTATAGTTTTAGATTTTACATTTGGCCTATGATCCTTTTGGAGTTAATTTGTGTACAGAGTATAAGGAAGAGTTGGAGGTTTCAATGTGTGTAAACAGTTTTTTTTTTAAACTTTT